CAATGTGAAGGCCAGAAGGGCAGGCAAGATAGGAAGGCAGGTACCTTGGGCAGCTCTCTAGGACTTCCAGACCCAAATCAGTTTCAGGGCTGGCTCATGAAAGATGCCTCGTAAATATTTGTTGAAAAGAGTCGCAACAGAGGAATTCTTGCTGAATTTTTCAGTTATGAATAGAACCTAGGGCTACTTCCTTCAGAACATATTTAAGAACACAACTATTTTTAAATCAGTATGTTCGTGCTGACCATCCTCTGGGCAGTCCTGGGTATGAGGTCCCCCACAAATTGGGGCCATATAGATAGTTCCCAGAAGAGGCTGGGGAGCCAGCCTGCACGGCTTCCCTGTGACTTGTGGGTGCTGAATAACCTTGCACCGAGTTCCTCTCATTTCTCTGTGGCTGAGTTGCCCAATCTGTAAAATGGGGACAGTAATACCAACAACAACAGGGCCATTTTGTGGATTAAAATAACTCATGATGTAAAGTGTAGAGAAGGGCGTCCCCACACCCAGCAGGCTCACTACGTCTTCGGTATGCTTGTGAAACGCGTGTCCTCTGTCACTGTGACACCCGTGTCATTCATTCAGCAGAAGCCGTTCAGCGCAGGTGCCTGCTGCACTGTGGCTGCCTCAGAAACCATTTGCAGGGGCCGGGTGCGGTGGCTCACGCCTGTAATCCCAGCACTTTGGGAGACCGAGGCGGGCGGATCACTTGAGGTCAGGAGTTCAAGACCAGCCTGGTCAACATGGTGAAACGTCTTCTCTACTAAAAATACAAAAATTAGCCGGGCGTGGTGGCGGGCGCCTGTAATCCCAGCTACTAGGGGGGCTGAGGCAGGAGAATCGCTTGAACCCGGGAGGCGGAGATTGCAGTGAGCGGAGATCGTGCCATTGCACTCCAGCCTGGGCAACAAGAGCGAAACTCTGTCTCAAAAAGAAGAAAAAGACAAAAAATTGAGAGAGAAGGAAAGAAAGAAACCATTTGCAGGGAGCGCACGGTTTCCGTCTGGTCCTGAACTGGACGCGAACAGGCCGAGCATTTAGAAAGCCGCGCAACTCCCCGCACCGAGAGGCTTCCTCCCGCCCGGCTCCTTCGAAGCGTGGTCTGGACCAGCACCTGTCGCAGCACTGGGGGCGCCTTAGAAACGCGGCCTTGGACCTATTTCCGCGGGGGGCGATCGGTGGCCCCGGTCCTCGCAAGGCCCCCCGCCACCCAGAACCGAATCTCTGGCGCGCCCCGCGGTGCGGTCAGCAGACGCCGAAGTGCAGGGGCGGTGGCCGGCGTCGCGATGGAGCTCGTTAAAGTACCGGCACGCTGGCCGCGCCCACGCCACGGGCGGGCGGGGACGGTGAGTGCAGGGACCCAGGCGACCGGCCGGCCAGCCGGCGTCCCCGCGCCTCCTGGCGGCCAGAAGCAGGGCATGCCCTTCCCCGGCTAAGGGGGTGCCGGTCCCCCCCTCCCCCCGGCACCTGGGAGTGAAGGTACCAGGGGGTCTCCTGGGGCCGCTCGTTCCTTCATCACCCCCAGGGGCAGTTGGACCCTGAGCAGCCTTCGCCACTCGCCCGGGGACGACCCTTCCCAGAGGATTCAGCGACAGCACCCGGGTCTCGGAAGGAAGACAAACACTAGGACCTGGAAGACGGAGTTTTACAATCCCTCGCAGTTCCCCTCCTAGCCAGTAGGTGACACTAGCCATAAATTTATTTCCCAGTTTACTGCTTGCGCTCAAACTCCGCGCCCCTCTCGCTCCAAGAGACAAAGGTCTCGCGAGATCTTTCGTAAACTTACAGAACCGGAAGCAGCGTGTAGGTCTCTTCCCTTTTGCGGCCATCACCGAAGCGGGAGCGGGTAAGGATTCGGCGGGCAAGTGGGTGTAATCCACAGCCATCCGTTCTTGGGCATGGTGGCTTCTGACCGCGGGGGTCCCGAGTCTCCCGTCGGCCGAGTAGCAGCCAGGAAGGGGAGGCCGGGATGGTTTTCTTTTTACCTGTTGGTCGCTTAAATCAAGGGCCGCCGGACCGGAAAGGGATGGAGGGACCGGGGATCTGGGGACTCGAAAACGAGTTGAGGAAAGGGAGCCTGTGGAAATAGGGCAATGTCGTTTCCTAGAGAATGGTCTCGAAGTAACTTCTCGGTAAAGTCTTCACGGAACTTCCAGACCACACACTTGCCTACTGGGAGACTTTTAGGACCCGAGACGTGTGCAGGCTTTTCCAGGTTCGGAATGGAGGGCCTTACTCATTTTGGAGGAGCTAAATATGTATTCACTCTTAAGCCCGTAGAATATAAACGTTGATTGTACCTTCTAGAACGTGAGGTTATAGTTAAGAGAGAATTGTGTTGTCGGTCTGCTTCTGCCCTAGTTCAGCAGAGATCTAAGTCCAGTCTTGATTCCCTCAGGAACTACTTGAGGAGTTGGGAAGAATGTAACTAAAAGGTCTTATAACTGGGACACGTGTTTTTGATGCAAGAGTCTTTAGTCCGTAAACATATACGGAAAACACCCGAATAAAACATAAAAAGTTTCGAGCTTCGGTTGATAGGCCCTTCTGATCAGTTTTTATTGAAGTTGCAGAACATGACAGTTCCTGTGATCATTCTAGACTATCAAGATAAAATCATTGTGGTTATTTGTTTGGAAGCTGGATGAGATTTTGGTCATTTAAGAGTCTTTTTGATTTTTTATGTAGCCAAAATGAAGTTTAATCCCTTTGTGACTTCCGACCGAAGCAAGAATCGCAAAAGGCATTTCAATGCACCTTCCCACATTCGCAGGAAGATTATGTCTTCCCCTCTTTCCAAAGAGCTGAGACAGAAGTACAACGTGCGATCCATGCCCATCCGAAAGGATGATGAAGTTCAGGTGTGTATCCCTACATGTTCTTGTGGTCTTGATGGATATTTCACGCACTTAGCTTAGAAGACGGATTGCATGCCTGAGAAAGATGCTTCTAAGACTCTTCCTCCCAAAGAGTGGCGAGATGAGCCAGGGACCGAAAAACAATAAGTAAACTGCTGTTCAGTTTTTAATTGTACTCTTAGGTAAAAATCTCAATTTTCTTTTCTTTTTTATTTTTGGAGATGGAGTCTTGCTCTGTCGCCCAGGCTGCAGGCTGGAGTGCAGTGGCGCGATCTCAGCTCACTGCCAGCTCCACCTCCTGGGTTCACGCCATTTTCCTGCCTCAGCCTCCCGAGTAGCTGGGACTACAGGCGCCCGCCACCACGCCCGGCTAATTTTTTGTATATTTAGTAGAGACGCGGTTTCACCGTGTTAGCCAGGATGGTCTTGATCTCCTGACCTCGTGATCCACCTGCCTCGGCCTCCCAAAGTGCTGGGATTACAGGCGTGGGCCACTGTGTCCAGCTGAGACAGGGTCTCACTCTTACCCAGACTGGAGTGTAGTTGCATGGTCATGGCTCACTTTTGGGCTCAAGTGATGTTCCCATGTGGGACCTTTTTTGTTTTTGCAGAGCGGGGTCTCACTTTATTGTCCAGGTTCGTCTCCAACTCCTGGGGATCCTGCCTGAAAATCTATTTTCCCAAATGTCAGATGATGTGGCCATAATTAGGTGACAGATAATCAGAGCATTGCCTTGGGGTTATCCTTTTATCAATACGTTGTGACTACCCAACAGGCTCATTTTGCCTGCTGTCCAGATAGAGCTGATTTATCTAGACAGGAGTTGCAATAAAGAAAGAGTTTAATTCATGCAGAGCCAGAACGGGAGACCAGAGTTTATTACTCAAATCAGTCTCCCTGAAAATGTGGGGACTGGAGTTTTTTGAAGGATAACTTAGCGGGTGGGGGCCAGGGAGTGGGGCGTGTTGATAGGTCACATCAGAGATGAAGGCATAGGGAGTTGAAGCTGTCTTCTTGCTCTGAGTTGGTTCCTAGATGGGGGCCACAAGATCAGTTGAGCTAGTTTAGTGATCTGGGTGGCACCATCCATCAGTGCAGGGTCTGAAAAAAATACCATGCAAATCTTAGGCTTTACAATATGTTATCCCTAGGAGCAATTGGAGAAGTTTAGAATCTTTTGGCCTCTAGCTGCCTAAACTATAATTTCTAGTCTTGCAGCCAATTTGTTAGTCCTACAAAGGCAGTCTGGTCCCCAGGCAAGAACGGGGTTTGTTTCAAAGTTAAACTGTAGACTAAGGTCCTCCTAAAGCAGTTAGTTTGGTCTATGCCCAGGAATGAGCAAGGCCATCTTGGAGGTTAGAAGCAAGATGGAGTTAGTTAGGTCAGATCTCTTTAACTGCTGTAATTTTCTCACTGTTGCAATTTTTGCAAAGGAGGTTTCAGTGTTTGGTCATTGAAGAGGCAGTTGAGGACCAGTAAACAGAATTGCTCCAAATCTAGATTCAGGAGCTGTAATGAAGCGTAGTCTCACATGATCGTTTGTGCTTACAAGTAAATAATTTGTTGGATCTATTTAGGTGAAGGTTTCTATAAGTGACCCTTAGGTGTAATCTGTAGTGCAGCTAGTGATTAAAGAATTCAGGGAGTCTCTAAAGCCATTTACATACATATCATCAATGTTTTTTCATGCTATTTCAATAAAATGTAATGGGTTCACAAATGAACAGTGTGGGTTGAGAACAGCTGTTGGTCCCTGCTATAGCAGTACTAAACTTGCCAGTAGACCCTGAAAACGATCATCTCTGTTTTCAATACATATCAATGCAAGAAAGTCACAAACTGGGAAGAAGAATCTGTTCAGAAACACTTGGCCTGACAAACTGAGGACCACTAGGATTCCTGTCCGTTAACCTTTGGGAAAGAATTGGTTTGTTCCCTTAAGCATTTGTTGCTGCCCTCTGACTAGCACTAGGTTGAACACATTAATGGGTTCAGATGTAAATACTCTTGGTCTGTTGCTGCTTTTGAGATGGAGTAACAAATTCCTTGTTGTCAACTTACTACAAGTTGCCAAAGTGGGCTCTTTTTTTTTTTTTTAACCTTTTAATATAATGATAGGGTGAGTGGTGTATGCATGAGTTCGTTTACTTGATTTACAAGGTTAATCTTTTATTCAAATATTTACTTCTGAATTTGCACTTAGGTTGTACGAGGACACTATAAAGGTCAGCAAATTGGCAAAGTAGTCCAGGTTTACAGGAAGAAATATGTTATCTACATTGAACGGGTGCAGCGGGAAAAGGCTAATGGCACAACGGTCCACGTAGGCATTCACCCCAGCAAGGTAGGTGTTTTTGAGAATGCTTGAGAGAAGGAAATTATGGCAAGTATTGTTGACGTGTGATTGTTTACAGAGCGAGCCCATAGAAATAGTCCTTGATTTTTCACATGTGCTGGAAAAAAAACATATCTTGAAGTAAATACTACTGTACTTCTATTGAAAATTCTAATAACATTTAAAATGTTTCTGAAATAAAAGTGTCTTTAACCGTCATTATGTTTCTGTTAGTTTGTTTTTGAGACGGGTTCTTGCTCTGTCACCCAGGCTGGAGTGCAGTGGCACAGTCTCGGCTCACTGCAGCCTCCGCCTCCCAAATGCAAGCGATTCTTCCGCCTCAGCCTCCTGAGCAGCTGTGACTACAGGCATGCACCGCTACACCTGGCTAATTTTTGTGCTTCTTAGTATAAAATTTCACCATGTTGGCCAAAGGTTTCACTGTGTTGGCGAGGCTGGTCTGGCCTCAGGTGATCTGCCTGCCTCGGCCTCCCAAAGTGCTGGGATTATAGGCATGAGCCATCATGCTCGTCCCATGATGTATATTAAGTGTGCTTTTTCTTCAAAAGCTATTAGTAAGCTGATTAACAATCAATAATTTATAGATCTTAAAATTTGGGAAGTAGGTTTTTTAAAGATGAAATGGCACTTTGGCCCTGGTTTTTCTTTTTTGAGACAGAGTCTGGCTCTATGGCTCAGGCTGGAGTGCAGGGGCGTGCAAGCTCCGCCTCCCAGGTTCATGCCATTCTGCTTCAGCCTCTAGAGTAGCTGGGACTACAGGTGCCCGCCACCATGCCCGGCTAATTTTTGTATTTTTAGTAGAGACTGCGTTTCACCGTGTTAGCCTTAGCTAGGATGGTTTTGATCTCCTGACCTCGTGATCCACCCACCTCTGCCTCCCAAAGTGCTGGGATTACAGGCATGAGCCACCGCGCCCGGCCAATAAATGTAATCTTTAAGCCTCAGAGAAGTCAAAAGCCTGGTATAGTAAAACACCTGTATATCTCTGACCTAGAATTCTCTATTAAAATTTTGCCACGTGCTCTTTGTCCATTTTCTCCACCCCCAGTGAATTTACTAAAAAAAGATCATGACACTTCACCTGTAATTACTTCAGTATGTATCCCTTAAGTGCAAGGACTTTCCCATTCATTAACCTACTCCAGTTATATTTTTCGCTTCCCAACACCAGAAAAGTTGTTTTAAAGGTCACCAATCTGGTAGCAGATTGTCTTTTTGTATTGCACATGTCAGTGCAGCATGTGACAGTCGATCTTTGAGTAACTCAGTAATCATCTTGTAATTAGTATCCCAAACTTGGCATGTTCAAACCATCATAGTGTATGACAGCTTGCTATGTTCCTAATTGCTCAGGCCAAAATGTCATTTAAAATTTTTTTTAATACGGGTTCTTGCAGTGTTACCCAAGCACTGGTCTCAAACTCCTAGCCAGAAGCTGTCTTCCCACCTAGGCCTCCCAAAGTGTTGGGATTATAGTCATGAGCTGCCTTGTCCAACCAAAAATGTCATTTTGACTGATTTATTATATACCTCACATCTGTTTATAAGGTCTGTGGACTGCTGTCTCATTATAATACCTAGAATTCTGTCTGCCCTTTGCCATCACATTGGCCTGTAAGACCTTAACTGATGTGGCCGGGCGCAGTGACTCACGCCTGTAATCCTAACACTTTGGGAGGCCGAGGCAGGCAGATTACCTGAGGTCAGGAGTTCAAGACCAGCCTGATCAACTGGTGAAATCCCATCTCTACTGAAAATACAAAAAAAATAGCTAGGCGTGGTGGCGGGCGCCTGTAATCCCAGCTACTTGGGAGGCTGAGGCAGGAGAATCACTTGAACCTGGGAAGCAGAGGTTGCAGTAAGCCACTATTGTGCCATTGCACTCCAGCCTGGGTGACGGAGCGAGACTTCCATTTTGGGGAAAAAAAGACCTTAACTGATCTTCCCTTACTTCTGACATCTTTTCCATTCTGTATGTTCTAGTCTGCTCGCCTCCTAGCAACTTGGTAGAATTAGAAATTCTAGGACCCCAGGCCTACTGAGGCAAAATTAGGGCTTTTGACCCAGGTGTCTGTTTTTAATAAGCCCTCCAGTTGATTCTTATTCAAGTGTGAGAAACACACCTGTGAAACTTGATAATCTCCTGCCTTTGAACCTTTCAACTTGCTGTTCTCTTCCAGATACCTATATATAAATAAATTGCTTAGCACTTTACGTCTCTGTTCAAATGTAGCTTTATTAGTAGGACTTTGCTTGATCACTCTAGAAAGCCCTTCGGCCTCCTCACACTTACTGCCTTTCTCTATCAAAGTGATGTCGATTCACTTGTACATGTTTTCGGGCTCCCTATACTAGAGTATCAGTTCAGCAACTGTGGAGATTTTTGTTCGGTCAGCATGCTGTATTTCCAGCACCTCTTTTCACCCTTTCCTCGCCTTCGTAAGACTAAAGTTTATCATAATTGGGATGTCTTTTAGGATTTGAACTGTTGGAATAAGATCTGTATTGTCATTCTCACTAAAGATTTTTCTGGTGGAATTATGTGTGGATGCTACCTTTAATTTCTTTTTTTTTTTTTTGAGACGGAGTCTCGCTCTGTCTCCCAGGCTGGAGTGCAGTGGCCGGATCTCAGCTCACTGCAAGCTCCACCTCCCGGGTTCACGCCATTCTCCTGCCTCAGCCTCCCAAGTAGCTGGACTACAGGCGCTGCCACCTCGCCCGGCTAGTTTTTTTTTTTTTTTTTTTTTGTATTTTTTAGTAGAGACGGGGTTTCACCGTGTTAGTCAGGATGGTCTCGATCTCCTGACCTCATGAGCCACCCGTCTCGGCCTCCCAAAGTGCTGGGATTACAGGCTTGAGCCACCGCGCCCGGCCGCTACCTTTAATTTCTAACATTAAAATTCTGAAGTTACTTTTATTATATTTTTCTGTTTTGGGGTGGGGTTTGTTTTGTTTTGTTTTGGACAGAGTTTTGCTCTTGTCACCCAACCTGGTGCAGTAGTGCGATCTCAGCTCACTGCAATCCTCTGCTTCCTGGGTTCAAGCAATTCTCCTGCTGTAGCCTCCTCAGTAGCTAGGTTACAGGCATTCACCACCACACGCAGCTGTTTTGTTTGTTTTTTGAGATGAGTCTCACTCAGTCGCCCAGGCAGGAGTGCGGTGGGATGATCTCAGCTCACTGCAACCTCCGCCTCCCGGGTTCCGAAGATTCTCCTGCCTCCCAGGTAGCTGGGATTACAGGAATGTGCCACCATGCCCAGCTAATTTTTGTATTTTTAGTAGAGAAGGGATTTCACCATGTTGGCCAGGCTGGTCTCGAACTCCTGACCTCAGGTGATCCACCCGCCTCTGCTTCCCAAAGTGCTGGGATTGGGGGCATGAGCCACCGCACCCAGCCTGAAGTTACTTTAGAAACAAATATATATGCCAGCTTATAAAACTGGAGTGAGAAGAGCAGAATCATATTTCTCAATGAAAAAGAAACACATTTTACAATGAAGCACAGAAGAGGCCATAAGAATTACTGATGCCATCTTGCCTTTTTCTCCTTTGTTGGTGGGAAATTAGTAAATAAGCCAGGTTTGATGGCTAAAGAGTAATTTCTGGAATTTTTAAAAAGTTAAATCTTTTCTTATTTAGCCATCAACCTACCCCAGGTGTGGGAAATGGTATTGAATGTTGGGCTTTCCCATGTGTTTTAGTGATTATTTAAAGCTTGGGAGTGTTTTTTTCTTATTTTTCTGCAGGTGGTTATCACTAGGCTAAAACTGGACAAAGACCGCAAAAAGATCCTTGAACGGAAAGCCAAATCTCGCCAAGTAGGAAAGGAAAAGGGCAAATACAAGGAAGAAACAATTGAGAAGATGCAGGAATAAAGTAATCTTAATAAAAGCTTTGATTAAAACTTGAAGCAAAGAGCCTGTGTTTTGTGTGTGGTGATTTATGACACTCCCTAGTTTTCAGTGGACTGGTCTCTTACCTCTGATTTGTCAGTCTGAATTTTTCTGAAATCAGGACTGATACATATATTTTTTTATAGTGGGCAGCAGCATTTGAAGATGTATCAGTAGCTGGAGGGGTCTCATTGAGAAGAAGGCCTATAAGAAAAGCTAGTTGGAAATACTTCCTCTTGAACCTGTTTTTTAACTTTCTTACTATAGATAGGTTGCTATATGGACAGCCTATATTTTTTAACTTACTGTATATAAAAGTTTGTATTGCCATTGGATAGGAAGTCTTGCTTTCAATAGGATAAGAAGCTTCTGTGACTTCCTATAGCATCTAGATCACTTCAAGCTGTTTGTCTAGATTGAGAGATCTCAGGTTCAGGTTCTCTGAGGGACCCATGGGCCCCCTTTACCTTATTTTCTGCCCAAGTGCTGGGTGAGTGCCATCAGACCAAAACCTCACACATCTTTGGGTTGAAACATGAACTGAACCGCAGCTTCGTCAGGATGAAGTGAAAAGGGGTGAGGTGGCAGCAGTGTGTGTTCCTGCCGTTCCTCATTTTAAGGATCTAAACAGGATACCTGAAGCCAGTTTACTTTCCAGGCTGGAGACTTGGCAACAACGTGGGAACGGGTAACGGGCCCGAGTTAAGTCACCGGCTTGGACGAGGTCGCAGCTGTCATCTGGGTGGACAGCGCTGCAGGGTGTCCGCAGTGCTGTCCTGGCCGGGCAAAGCCTGGAGTGAAGAGCGGTGGCTCCTCCGATCCGCGGCGCCTCGAGGGGGCGGGGCTTCCGGCTGGCGCTGACCGGCTTCCGGCGGAGCCGGCGGGAGGTGGGGCGGTGCTGCTGCTGCTGGCGGGCCTCTGGGTGGAGGGGATTCAGACGCATCGTCTAGTGTATCCCTTTCTCTTTCCCGACCTTCCTCAGTCTGCGGCTCTTTTCTCCACCGCGCACCCGCCTCAGCCGTTCAGCCCTGAGCTGGCGGGCGGACGGGCGTGGATCCAGGCTGTGGGATCATTCTGCGAAGTCAGGGTAGGAAGGCAATACAAAGGAGGCGACGCCCCAGCCCGGTCCTCAGGAATAAGCGGCGTGCCGAGTGGTGTGGACGGTGCGGGGACGCTGTACTAAGTGCCTTATCTGCATTGTCATTGAATCTTCATAGCAATCGATTGTGATGGGTACTGGTCTTCTCCCCGGGTTGCAGATGAGGAAACTGAGGCTCCAGTAACTTTGCTTTAGTCAGTAAATGGTAAGAGTCAGAAAATGAGTTCCCAAGCGTAGACTCGGCCATACCGCTGCTCTGCCTTGCTAATGACAATCTACCTGTAAGCGACATTTTTGACTAAATGTCCTTTGAACACCTTTTGTGCTCAGCTCTGTATTCGTGGGCCCTCCAAAGGGGGTACAGGCAGGCAGAGGGCTCCGTCCCTACTTTTTAGGTTGCACACATCTGAACTGGTCGACTGCAGATGCAAATCAAGAGTGCGCCAGTGAGTGTGGTACAGGTGTTAAGATGAAGTCCAGATGGCAATCAGCTGAAGTTACTGAATACGTCGGGAAGGAGGCTGATTTCAGCTGGCTGGGATTGGGAAGATCGATGCGAGGACATTCCAAGTCGGAAACAGCCGAGGCAAAGACTCACAGGTGGGTGAAGGGAGTAAACATGGCTTTGGAAATATTTCCAGTTTTCTCTGACCAACTCGTTTATCACTTAGCCGTTTATCCTTTAGCCGTCAGCACAGATCACACCAGGAAGCTGATTGATTTACGATCACATTTGTTTCATGTTGCTTTGGAAAAGATACTGAAGCCTCAGGCAACATAATGAGACCCCGTCTCTACAAAAAAAAAAAAAAAAGAGAGAGAAAAAATTAGCCGGGCCTGGTGACGCATGCCTGTAGTCCCAGGTACTCAGGAGGCTGAGGTGGGAGGATGCCTTGACCCTGGGAGCCGTGATCATGCCACTGCACTCCAGCCTGGGTGACGAAGTGAGACCCCTCTCAAAAAAAAAAAAGATACTGAAAGCTTAGAAGTCTGCAGGAGTGGACAAGATGAATAGGTTAGTAGGTCCCGACGTCCTGGGCTGCATGCGACCCACAGGCCACAGGTTGGACAAACTTGATCCAAAGGAAGATGCTGCCTATTACAGCCAGTTATTGCCAGGCAGCAATGCCGCCAGTGCAGCCAGAACATTGCCTTTTCAAGAAAGCCAAAAATCGAGGCCGGGCGCAGTGGCTCACGCCTGTAATCCCAGCACTTTAGGAGGCCGAGGCGGGTGGATCACGAGATGAGGAGACCGAGACCATCCTGGCTAACACGGTGAAACCTCATCTCTACTAAAAATACAAAAAATTACACGGGTGTGGTGGCGGGCGCCTGTAGTCCCAGCTACTCTGGAGGCTGAGGCAGGAGAATGGCCTGAACCCAGGAGGCGGAGCTTGCAGTGAGCCGAGATGGAGCCACTGCCCTCTAGCCTGGGCGACAGAGCAAAACTCTGTCTCGAAAGAAAAAAAAAGGCAGAAATTGAGATTTTTATGTGAAATCTCCCAATCTGTAAATATAGGTGAAACATTCCTTTTTTTTTTTTTTTTTTTTTTTTTTTTTGAGATGGAGTCTGGCTCTGCCGCCCAGGCTGGAGTGCATTGGCACGATCTTGGCTTACCATAAGCTCCGCCTCTCGAGTTCACGTCGTTATCCTGCCTCAGCTTCCTGGGACTACAGGCTCCTGCCACCACGCCCAGCTAATACTTTGTATTTTTAGCAGAGATGGGATTTCACCGTGTTAGCCAGGATAGTCTCGATCTCCTGACCTCGTGATCCGCCTCAGCCTCCCAAAGTGCTGGGATTACAGGTGTGAGCCACCACACCTGGTCGAAAAATTCAAATTTTTAAAAATCACTAGATGGACCAACCAAAATAGGTCTATTAGATAATTGTGGACTTTGGACTCTACTGCAGAATTTCATGGTATAGTAAGGACTGGATCTCTTACTAAAGACTGTCTTTTGGTTATAAATTGTTTCTAGCCTGTTGCCTCCGTTCTTTCTTTTTTTTTAATTTTTTTATTTTTAGAGACAGGGTCTCACTATGTTGACTAGGTTGGTCTTGAACTCCTGGCTTCAAGCAATCCTCTTACCTTGGCCTCCCAAAGTGTTAGGATTACAGGCATGAGCCACTGTGCCCAGTTGCCTTCGTTATTTTATAGAATGAAGATGAGACTTTTCCTTTCTTTGCGGTCCCCTGAAGGGAATCAAACAGCAACCAACACAGCACTCAAGTTATGAGAGATGCTGGTTTCAGAAAGGAATCTGGAAGGTGCTCTTTCTGGACTCCATTGAATACCTTGTGGTTTCAAGAACTGTTAGAACTAGTAGGACCGGCCAGGTGCGCTGGCTGTACATGCCTATAATTCCAACACTTTGGGAGGCCAAAACAAGCAAATCACTTGAGGCCAGAAGTTCAAGGACCAGCCTGGCCAACATGGCAAAACCTCATCTCTACTAAAAATGCAAAACATTAGCCAGGTGTGGTGGTGTACCCCGGTGTTAAAAAAAAAAGCTAGTAAGACCATGGGATGGTAATAGATATTCCTTGGGAAACGAAGTCCCGTGTCAATGATTGAATGGTACTGGTGGATGAAACAAAGTGAAGCTGGTTTCTTTACTGCAGGACTTCTCAGAGCCTTTTTTTGTTTTTTGAAACAGACTCTCACTCTGTCGCCCAGGCTGGAGTGCAGTGGCACGATCTCAGCTCACCGCAACCTCTGCCTCCTGGGTTCCAGTGATTCTCCTGCCTCAGCTTCCTGAGTAGCTAGGACTACAGGCATGCACCACCATGCCTGACTAATGTTTGTATTTTTAGTAGAGACAGGGTTTCACCATGTTGGCCAGGCTAGTCTCGAACTCCTGACCTCAGGTGATTTGCCCGCCTCAGCCTCCCAAAAGTGCTGGGATTACAGGTGTGAGCCACTGTGCCTGGCCTCAGAGCCTTTCAAATGTCAGTTTGCAGAAGATCTTGAACCCAGGCTTAGAGTAAAGAGCATTTTGCAAATGTGCAGTTTCATTTCTGCAAGGCATAGCTTTGGCCAGGCCCACTGCCTCAGGCCTGTAATCCTAGCACTTTGGGAGGCTGAGGCAGGTGAATCACTTTAGTCCAGGAGTTCGAGACCAGCCTGGGTTTTTTGCAACATGGCAAAACCCCATCTCTATAAAAAATACAAAAAAAGAAAAAGAATGGAAATGCACATTTTTCACATTTAAAATTTTGGATGTGTCATCAATACATTCATTTAATACACACTGTTTTTCCTCTCAAAAGAAAGTTATTAAGTCAGTGGTTTTACAGTCAGTAATGTCTTAGAATCAGGAATATTCATGATTAACCAGCAATGCTGAGGAAGGGAGTTTGAAGCCCTTTTAGTGGAGGAGCTTCAGGACCTGGAAGTACGTTCCACTTAACTGAGACTCTTGCTCAGAACTTTGAAAAGTTTCCATCTTTGTCTGCTTCTCAGGATTCTGCCCTGCCCCTCCGCTCTGCATCTGACAGCTGGGATCTTGGGATCCTGTTTTCCTAAGCTTGCTGGAATTCCTGCAGTCCTCATATGAACTCCCCTGGCCTCATCACCATCCTGTCTTAGGGCTGTTCTAACTAAGGAATCCCGGTTTAGACAACTGAGTATCAAGTTCTCCCCTTAAGCAATTATCTGATCACAGTGGCATGTAGACTCCCTTTGGGGTATCTGTTTTCTGCAGGATAATCTCCTGACATATCTCCATGTACACAGACATAATATTTCCTTTGGAAACAGATCCTGCCATCCCTGTTAGGAGTCATCAAGCCTGTGCTCAAGTTCACTTGGACTCTGCTTTATTCTGAAAATACTAATACACGGGCTACAGCTCTGGCAGCGTCAAAACTGGCCAGACCAACAGACCTCCTAGGAAAGCAAAACTCCTTTCCCTCACCCGTGAAACTGTACTCATCTTGTTGGATATGAGACCTATTTCTTATTTCTTCCATTTATTCACCTGACTCGCTTTCAGAGTCCTCTACGCTGCATGCCTTCATTCCTGATGCCCTGTCTTGTCTCTTCCGCAGTCCTGCTGAGGCTGCTCCTTATCCCAGGCCCCAAGACTGTATGGTCCCTGTGGCAGCAGCCAGTGTTGTCTCAGGAAGCAACAGCATTTGAAGATATGACCAAATATTGGAATTATTTAGAAGCCTCTCAAAAGGATTGCTACAGAGACACAATGCTGAACAGTTATGAGAACACGGTCCCACAGGGTAAGGACTCAGAATCTTCCTTTATTAATCTTGTGGACAACTGTCAAAAGGAAACCGTCATTTAAAAATATTCCCACAGCTTTCTTCTTGATTCACGCAAAATTAGCACAGACTCTTCTGCCATAAACATTTTTTTCTTTTTTTTTTTTGGAAACAATCTCCCTTTGTCGCCCAGGCGGGAGTGCAGTGGCACAATCTCGGCTCACTGCAACCTCCGCCTTCCGGGTTCAAGCCATTCTCCCCACCTCAGCCTCCCGAGGAGCTGGGATTGCAGGTGCCCACCACCACACCTGGCCAGTTTTTGTATTTTTAGTAGAGATGGGGTTTCACCATGTTGGCCAGGCTGGTCTCGGACTCCTGACCTCAAGTGATCTGCCCACCTCGACCTCCCAGAGTGCTGGGATTACAGGCGTGAGCCACTGTGCCCGGCCGAGAAATTGTTTCTGTTGATCATGGGAAGGCTCAGAAGCAATGCCTGGTACAAATTTCAGTTTAAGAGTTTGCTGTTATTATGTGGTACCTTTTAGCAACGTTCTCCCATTTATATTTTTTTAAGGGGTACTGAGGGTAAGATTTTAGCCTACTGCCTTAGGAGTTTCTGTTTATCCTCTCTCCTGTTCAATTAATGAAAACCAGTTGATTAGGTTTCATGCTATAAGCTAATGGCTTCGTTGTTTTTTCTGTTTGCCTAAAGTCTAAAACCTCTACCGATTTGTGATTTAACTGATGTCAAATTCTATTGCTATGCTGTGGTTTTGGATGGTGCCAGTTGGCTTTCTAATTGCTTTTTACTATGACTCTATTATCATTCTTCCATATAATCATCTTCAAAAATTATATGAAAGAATTGATGAGGAACTTCAGAGGGGAAGTCTTCCAGGTGGGAGTGTCAGTGAATTTAACTTTGTTCTCTTTTTTTCCTTTCTTAGCATCCGTCTTACAGTTCTCCATGATGCCTCAGAGAGCTGGAAATGATCCACCTGGTGTTTCAAATGTGAATGAAATGGAAATGGAGATAAGTAACATGAGAGAAAAGTTTCTCATGAGTGTAACAAAGTTAGTAGAAAGCAAAAGTTACAACAGCAAGGTATTTTCCAAAGAAAAGTACTTTCAAACAATAAAGGAAGTTAAAGAAGCTAAAGAAAAAGGGAAGAAGTCATCACGTGATTATCGCCGTGCGGCAAAATATGACGTGATCTCTGTACAGGGCACAGAGAAACTGATAGAGGCTACTCATGGAGAACGTGATCGAATACGGTATTATGTACATAAAGAAGAGTTGTTTGATATTCTTCATGATACACATCTCAGTATTGGACATGGTGGGCGGACACGCATGCTCAAGGAGCTGCAAGGAAAATATGGGAATGTCACCAAAGAAGTTATTGTCTTATATCTGACTCTGTGTAAACAGTGCCACCAGAAGAACCCAGTACCCAAGAAAGGCCTTCCGCCCAAGCCCATGACTTTTAAGGACATAGACTCCACGTGCCAAGTTGAAATACTTGACATGCAGTCAAGTGCCGATGGTGAGTTCAAGTTCATTTTATACTACCAGGACCACTTGACCAAGTTTATTATTTTACGGCCATTAAGAACCAAACAGGCCCGTGAGGTGGTCAGTGTCTTGTTAGATATTTTCACAATTCTTGGTACACCCACTGTGTTAGACTCTGACAGTGGCGTTGAGTTCACAAACGAGGTTGTTCAGGAGCTCAATGAGTTGTGGCCGGACCTAAAGATTGTGTCTGGTAAGTACCACCCTGGCCAAAGCCAGGGCTCCCTGGAAGGAGCAAACCGTGATGTGAAGAACATGATAGGTACCTGGATGCAGAGTAACCGCTCATGTCACTGGGCCAAAGGCCTCCGATTCCTGCAGATGGTGAGGAATCAGGCTTTCGACGTTTCCTTGCAGCAAAGTCCATTTGAGGCAATGTTCGGTTGTAAAGCCAAATTTGGGCTATATTCCTCAAACTTGCCCCGGGAAACCGTGGCTACTTTACAAACAGAAGAAGAGCTAGAAATTGCTGAAGAACAGCTAGAAAATAGCCTTTGGATCAGGCAGGAAGAAAGAGTTGAGATTGGAGCAGACAGATCTGATATGGATGATGACATGGATCCCACTCCTGAAGCTACAGAACCCAGCACCTCACAAGGGGCTTCCGGTCTCCTCTGCTGGTGAACAGATGGCTGCTGGGTGGACAGTCACAGGTGTCTCTCTGAGCATAGTCATCTGAGAACTGTTGCCAGAGGCCCCGGGGGAAAGGATTGAAGGCTGCACTCTCAGGTCAAGTTGTACATGGTAGCCCTTGCTCAAAAAGGGAAAAGTTTGGGTCTGTGTATTTATTCTTAGGGCTACCATAAAAAATTACCACAACCTGGCCGGGTGCAAGACTCATGCCTGTAATCCCAGCACTTTGGGAGGCCGAGGTGGGCAGATCACTTGAGGTCAGGAGTTCAAGACTAGCCTGGCCAACATGGTGAAACCCTGTCTCTACTAGAAATACAGAAATTAGCCAGGCTTGGAGGCATGTGCCTGTAATCCCAGCTAACCGGGAGGCTGAGGCAGGAGAATCACTTGAACTCAGGAAGCAGAGGTTGCAGTGGGCCGAGACCATGCCACTGCACTCCAGCCTGGGTGACAAAGCAAGACTCTGTCTCGAAGACAAAAAAAAAAAAAACAACCACCACCTGGGTGACTTAACAGAAATTGAGTCTCACAGTTCTGGAGGCCCAAAGTCTGAAATTAAAGTGGTTAGTAAGGTAGGTTCTTTCTGAAGGCTCTGGGGGAGAATCATTGCATGCCTTTCTCCTTTCTCTAGTGGCCATCGGCAATCCTTGGTGTTCCCTGGCTTGTGACAGTGTAAGTCCAGTCTCTGCTTCTGTCTTCTTGTGGCCTTCTCCCCCGTGTTGTACGTATTCTTTCCTGTCTCTTGTAAAGACATCACTGGACACCGAACCCATGTCACTGGATTTACGGCCCACTCTAATGAGGATACTCTCATCTCAAGAACCTTACCTTAATTAGATCAGCAAATACTCTTTCCAAATAAGGTGACATTCACAGGTACTAGGGACTTGAACTTGGACTTATCTTTTTTATTTATTTATTTTTTTAGAGACAGGGTCTCCTTATATTGCCCAGGCTGGTCTCAAACTCCTGGGCTCAAGGGATTGGCCTCTGAAAGTGCTAAGATTACAGGTGCATGCCACCACACCCAGCCAGGATTTTTTTTTTTGTCTTTCTTTTTTTTGAGGCGGAGTCTCACTCTGTTGCCCAGGCTGGAGTGCAGTGGCACAATCTGGGCTCACTGCAGCCTCCACTTCCCCAGTTCAAGCAATTCTGCTTCAGCCTCCTCAGTAGCTGGGACTACAGGCGCGCACTGCTACGCCCGGCTAATTTTTTTTTTTTTTTTGGAGACAGAGTCTCACGCTGTTGCCCAGGCTATAGTGCAGTGGCATGATCTGGGCTCACTGTGACCTCCGCCTCACAGGTTCAAGCGATTCTCCTGCCTCAGCCTCCAAGTAGCCAGGACTACAGGCACGCACCCCCACAAACCCAGCTAATTTTTGTATTTTTTAGTAGAGATGGGGTTTCACCATATTGGCCAGGCTGGTCTCAAACTCCTGACCTCGTGATCCACTCGACTCAGCCTCCCAAAGTGCTGGGATTACAGGCGTGAGCCATCGTGCACGGCTGGACTTACCTTTGTAAGAGACACAGTTCTACTCATTATAGTCAATAGAAAAATATGGGC